TCACTCGCTCTGTCTTCTATTCCCAGTAGAAGGCAATAGAAAATACTGAATAATATTCTAAAAAAAAATTAGAACTTGCACACCGGCAGGTATGCTCCAGTATAATCTTTCGAATGTAGTGACGTTCTATAAAGGAATGGAGGAAAAGAATATGTTACAAGCGAGGAAAAAGTCTGCTCACAAAATTCAAAATGGAATTCAATTTTGGCGCGGAGTGTTCCCTAAGCAATCAAATATTATCTTCGCTATTTGTTTACTTTCTATCATCAAAATGGAAGAAGTAGACATTGCAAGGTTCTGTAATCGCTTCAGATTTGGTTCCTCACTATAGGAGCGTAAAAGCCAATACAGGATGAGAAATGAATCGGCAGCTCTTGAAAATCTTATCAGATCCATTATATAGCTTATTCTTTGTACCATATAAATGTGCCCAATTGGATATAAAATCGCACATTTGATTGCCTACTTCAGCGGAATGATCAACGTTGTAGGGAAATTCATGAGGAAATTTCTGGTAGCTGCCCGTCAGAATTGGAATCCCAAGCATGTTATGCGCAGCACCAGATTCCTGCATAAGAAGTTATAGACTCATATTATTTTTGTTTATTTTTAGCGAAGCCAACCACCATGAGGTCAACGACCTTTTATCAGATCACTGTTTTTTTTGTTTATCTATAGTGAAGACAAGAACCCTTAGCGAGGTCTTTATTAATAAAATATCAACTACTTGTTTTGTTTAGTGGTACCACTGTCACAGGTTTTAAAAAATGTGGATATTGATCTTGAATCTAAGGGTTTCACATCTTATTAACTTTGATTAGCGGATCTGATTAGGAAAAGTTATCAAATGACTGCAGAGTCTACAGCTTTTTAAGTAATTATTTGGATAGTGATTTGCAGTAGCGGAGGAGAAGAAGGTGGCTTCTTTGCTGAAGGGACCAAAAGTCGGAGAGCGGATGGATGGATGGATACGACCAAAGTAGCTTTGGTGGTTATAGAGAGTAATCATTTAAAAAAGAGAGACAGCGACAATCAAGAAGAAGAAGAATGTGATGTAATAAACTTTTGTGGTTTCAATAACTTCAATTTTATTGACTAACCTTTGCTGTGATTTCTTTAACTTTATGAAAATATTTGCACATACATACATTCTTGAAGTACTTCAAGAAGTGTTTGCAAATTGTTAGGGAAACCATATTTTTTGCACAAATATATGTGGTAATAATTTTTAAATACGCTCATATAAAAGAATAATGTTTTTATTTACCGTTTCCTCAGAAGATAAAGCACGGAGTTCTTTTACCAGCTCAGCCGCTTCTCAAGCCATTCTGCACACCGAAGTCCAGCAAGAACAATTGAAGCGCGCAAACGCAAACAAAGAAAGATACACACATACCTACATATACACATACTTACATATGTATATACGTACATACATAATTACAAACGCATATACGAGTAGGAAACATTGAATGGTTCGAAATCGGCGACATCTTCTCCATACGAAATCAGTCAGTCGAATGGACAAATGCGTTTGCGACAAACAACTGCTCGAAGCATTGAAGAGCGTTCTTGTGTTGGTGCCACAGTAGCGTTTGAGGCGCGTCTTCGTTGCTTGTGCGCAGATAGAAGATGGCTGTGCTGGAGTTTTCCGCGCATGTCTTGTATCTTCTTCTTCTTCTTTTTGTGTGTGCTTGAGGAGTCGGCGCGGCAAGATGATTGAATTTATTACGCATACGCGTTTTGTTGTTTGTACATACGTATGCAACACTTTTATTGCTGTTGTTGTTGTTGTTGTTAATTTTTATTGCCGTTGCGCGAATTGTTATTCAACACCAGCGACTTGGTCAACGTACAGCAGCATTTCTTTAGCATTTCACTGCCGCCGCTTGTTCCCCCTCCATCCTCATAAGCGGTTGCCGCTTTAGGCTCTACGTTCGCCTCTCCTTCATCACCCACAGAGTTTTGCGTCTGTTGTTGCGCTTTTCTCTTCCATTTGTCACTTGTGAATTCCATTACCGATCGATCTTTGCTAAGTTTTCTCGATAAACTAAACAGAGACCCCGCCTCCCACCCCTTTGTTAGTCAGCGCTTCAGTCGCTCACCTACAATGCGTGGCGCAGACATCCATCAGTCAGCCAACGGCTTCAGCGTCTCGAAAGTTTTTGATTTTTGTGATTCTTTGTGGTTATTGGATGCGTTCGCGTGATCGCTACCGGGAAATTTATCGCCAGTCATTAGAATTCAGCGTGCGGCGTGTAGCGATTGTGGTTGGAAAAGGGCCCGGTCTCGAGATTGGTAGCTGCATATTCCTCTATTTAAATACTTACGTAAGTGTGAAGACATATGAAAGAATGCCACACGAATTCATTTGGGTCCGGATCGTAAGTACATACTTACATATGTGAGTAGGTACGAGCATTTAGTTTTATGTTTGAAGAATCTGAAGCATTAGAAACTTAGGCACGAGTATGCGCGGATATGTTGGAATGCTGGAATTTATGCATAAATTGACCTCAACAACTCCAGTGCGTAGACCCTTAGATGGAGTGTGAGGAGAAGTTTTGGTATTAACATGCATCAATCCATATAATGTTCCACTCAAAAAATGTACTAGTAAAATCCATTTTCGATGTGTTTCTTTGCTTTTCTTCTTGATTTGCCTTTTAACACTCTAATTGAACCGACGAAACGAATAAACAAGTAAAAGTTAGCTTCAATTTTCGAGTAATTTTAGTGACCAACTCAAGCTCCTCATATTCCAAACTGCGTTTCTTATTCTAACTAATTTTGCCTAGAGGCGTTTTTTCGATTTGCGATAACTCTATGATGGACAAGTGCTCTCAGCTCTTAGAGGTTAGCGCGGAAACTGAGTTTGGTAGCAAATCTCCAAAAACTATCACAATTGTACGACTGTTCCACTAATAGCGCCAAGTCTACTACAGAAAAGCTCCTTCGCGATTTTTACTGCGCAGCTAATGACAAAATTGTGTGTCATAAACTCTATAAAGATACCAAATATTGACCTATGCACAACAATACAATTTATTTAGAGGCGGATGAGAAAAGCTTCATCTCTGAATCCACGAACTCTCACAAAACTTAGATAATATTTTATTAAGGCAAGTTCTAAGCTAGGAAGATTTCTCATTCAGCCAGGGATACGTAGAATTAATAAGACCTATTTAAAGATAATTGTTACAGAGTGTGAAATCAAACATTTTGTAGATATAACATCGCATACTTGGCTTTCAATCTAATGACGAGCTTTCATCCAGTTCGATAAGCTTCCATCCAGTTAGGTAAGCTTTTATCAAGCTAGTCGTGCTTTCATACATCTAGAGAAGCTTTCATCCGCTTATGCAAGCTTTCAATGAACTAAGAAAGCTTCAATCTAACTAGACAAGCTTTTCATTATATACAATGCTGTATGTTTGCCGAAAGATGGTATAACTTCATTATTATATTGAAAATGAGAACCTGGAAGCATTACTAGTTGAAGATTGTTGCCAAATCCAAGAAGAGCTCGCAGAATATTTGGGAGTCACTCAAAAAATGTTTTCGCGAATTGGAAATGCTGCTTGAACGCTACAAATTAATTCGTTTTTTCTACTGATTGTGACTGGTCTTATAAAATGGATTCATTATTATAACCATAAACGCAAAAAATCGTATGTGAAACTTGGCTAAACAGCCAGATCAACGACAAAGCCAAATAGCCATGACGTCAAGGTAGACGTGCTGTATTATGAGCTTCTAAAACCGAGTGAAATTATTAATGGGGGAACGCTACCGACAATAACTCAACGAATTGAAGCGAGTGATTCATGGAAAGGCCCGAAATTTGAGACTATTCACGAGGCAATAACTTTCAATCATGACAACGCTCGGCCTCATGTTGCTAGACCCCTCAAAAAGTTTAACCACATCCACTTTATGGTCCAGACCTTGCTCCTACTGACTACGATTTGTTGCGGTTAATGCAGAACGCCCTCACGGTTCACAGCAGAACACGGTATCAAAAACTTGTTGGCTTCATTCTTGGCCGCCAAGCCGGCGCAGTTCTTTTACGATGGAATCCACAAATTGGCAGAGAGATGTACAAATGTTATACTTGAGGCTCAATGGAATTTTTCTTACAACCATCAACATAATTTTTTTTAGGTTATCTCTCAAAAATATACATATGTATGTACATACATAAATGGGTATTTTATGCGAATATTGGCAAAAAATCGGTGATATGATGAAAGGTGCTTTCTATTTCATTAGAAATTCCGCTATCTCCCTTCAAAATATGTTAATATTCGCAATAAAAATCTGCACGAAAGCGATTTGCATAAAATAATCAGCGAAAGCTGGGTGTGTAAGACATACATACATACATAAATAATTTTGATGTCAGAAGTGTAACTAATCAACCGTTAGACATGATCATGATCGATAGTGCAAATAGCGTTTACAAGGGACTTCTTCAGCTTCTTCTTTTGAACTTTTAAGCCGCAAAATTTATGTAGTTTTAAATAATTTCTTGTTCTTCGCATTTGTTGTTGTAGTTCTACTTTTAAGTTATAAGTTACCGCACAAACGGGAAGAATATGACTATCAATCATCGGTCAATTTGTTGACCCAAAATGCGCAAGCTTGTTGACTTGAAGAAAGCTTAAGCGATTGGCGCGCTGCGGAGAAACTAAATAAGTATGAATAAGAGATGCTTAGGGAAGACAATAATAAACATACATACAAACAAATTTAAGTTAGATTATTATTTTTTTCATATGCATAATGAATGAGTCTGTCATGGTTTTTTTAAGAAACAGTAATAAGAAAGAAGCGCTAGCTTAATAGTTAGAAGAAGTTGCTAGCGAGATGTTATAAAATTATTTAGATATGTATGTAAATACATATGTACATATGTATGTATATATTTAGACAATAAAACAAATATGCTTACTATTTTTATTATGTTTTGTTGTTGTTCTTTCTTGTAACTTAATCAATGCGAGTTTATTTAAGTGTGGTCACTCGGCTTGCTGAGCTTAGTTTTGGTTTTTAGTTCGAACTGTTTTGTGCAACGAACAAAGATGAGGCAGCATCTGTGGTCCATATTATTTTTAGTGATTTGTCTGACGGCGGCTGTGGTGAAATGTATGTATGTGTTAACACTTCAATGAAATTAGCTTTATGGTCAAAAAATTTTTTTAAAATATTTGCAAACGGAAGGATGCAAGGATAATGTATAGAAATTGGTTGATTATTGGAAAAAATTGAATTGAAAAAAATTGTGTTGGATATGCAAGTTCGGGATTTCTTGTGAAAAATATTTGATAAATTTTATTTATTGGCAGAACTATAAGTAAAGGACAAAAGAAAAAAGTATTTGTATGAATAACAGTGCATTTTATAGAAGCTTAAAATAATAATTCGAAACATTAAACTTATAAGAAATATTTCTAATGGATTTATTTCATTTTTTTTCGTAATGTTAAAAAATATAAAATAATAACAATATAATTTCATAATAATAATATATTTTCAATATCGTAGAAAAAAAACTTTTTATTATATCAATATATAGTATTAATAATAATGTTTAATCATTAAAATTTTCCAATAATATAAAAAGTAAAAAAACTAGAAAAAATTCAGTAAAAGTAAAAAAATAATATCATAAAATAAAATAATATTATAGCAATAAATAATAACAAGTAAAAAAATAAAATTCGTAATAAAATTTAAATTAAAAATAAGAAAATTTACAACTAAAATGTTTTTTGTGATTTATAATAAAAATCAATAAATAAAAAAAAAATTTTAAATATTACTAATTTGAATAAAAATGTTTAAATTAAAATATTTTTATTTTTAATATTGAAGTAAATTCTTTTAACAACTTAAAATAAAATAAAACGATGCAAACAACTTAACTTCGACAGCACCGAAGCTATAATATTCTTCATTTTTTAGCATTTTTTATAGCATAAAATTGATTTTGATCGATTATTTTGTATGACAGCTATAAGCTGTAATTGTCCGATCTAAACTATTTCTGTCGGAGAATGTACCGTTGTTTTGGATAATAATGCATGTCAAATTTCGTCACGATATCTCGTCAAATAAAAAATTTTTCCTTACAAGAACTAGATTTTGAGCGTTCAGTTTGTATGGCAGCTATAGGCTATAGTGAACCGATATCGATGGTTGCAATAAATAAGTAGCTTTTTAGGGAGCAAAGAACGTGCCCAAAATTACAACGCGATATCTTAAAAATTGAGGGACTAGTTTGTACAGGCAGGACATGGCAAAATCGACTTAGCTCGTCATGCTGATTATTTATATGTATGTATGTATATATTTTATAGGGTCTCCGACGTTTTCTACTGGGTGCCATAAACTTCGTGGCTGACTTAATATACCTTGTTAAGGTTACAAAAATAATAACTGCTTTTGAATATTGTTTTTGAGAATAAAAAATAAAAACTAATTTTTTTTGCGAAAAGTATATATTTTTAATTTACAATAAAAAAAAATAATAGAAAAATATTTAAAAAAAAATTATTATAAAATAGAAAAAAAAAATTAATATAAAATTAAAAAAAATTATTATAATTGATATATAAATTATTATAAAAATTTTTTTAAGTTAAATTTTTTATTTCAATTATATGCTGTCATTCTCGAACCTACTGGTTTTAATGATCTTTTTTTTGTGAGAGTGTTCCGATCGTGTGAGAGTTGGATTATCTTTATGGATTCTTAATGATCAGCAAAAATTCTTACTCGAAGAGTAATTTACAAAAAGTGTGTGATATATTAAATACTACCTAACGGCTTTCGTCGCCCCAAATATTATAGCTAGTTCTCCCACAAATAGTAAGTCGGAAATTTTTTTAGAGACTTGTTTGCAGTGATGAGTTGTCGTAGTTGTTTTAGCAGCTTTACACAATCCTCCAATAATTTGATGAATTTGGCTGAGGCCTCAGTCTTTGCAGGAAACAAATTCGGGTTTGGTCGGGTTTGCCCAGACCTCACAAATGTTAATACGTATTCAAATAGATACTTGCGATTACCTACATCTGATTTTCTTGGAAAACATAACTTCCTTTTCGTGTGATGTTAAATTTAAACATAAAATAAATCATACAAATCGGGTTTAATGGGCTAAATTTTTGAGAGAACTTTTGAAATACAAAATATTCACGAAGTTTTGGATCACACTACAATTTACCTCATATTTTTATATTCAAACCATTTGAAAATTATAAAAATGAGCGAAATTTCTTATTTTCTTTCTTTTTCATATTTGCAGCTGAATCCTTCACCGAAGTTGATAATGATGGCAATGAAATCGAGGTTAAACGCTTCTACATTGAAGGCCGTCAGTTAAACGGTGGTCGGCGGCAATGTTATGAGACACGTAGACGCAAACGTTCTTCGGCTTACGGACAAGAAGAGGATAAGGCCAATGATGAGATTCTAACATCTACGTCAACGGCGCCAAGCGGTATTGACACCGCTGTCTCCATAGATGAGGAGGATGACGTGGAAGCAGATAAGCCGGTTGGTGTGTATGAAATATTCCATAATAATGATGGCGGTGGCGAACAGAATACGGCGGATAATGGTGCTGACGAAGCGGAAAATGAGGTAGACAAGGCCACACTCAATTTGCCTGTAGTGGCGCATATCACACATCAAAGTAGCGTACAGTCTAATACTCCCGCTGCTGGCAGCAACCACAACGGTATAGTAATTGTACAAACCAATACGCCGCCCAAGGTGAATCCACAAACACACGCGGTTTTTGAATTACTGCCGGTGAGAAATGAAGAAGACGGTGAAGACGATCTTGATGACTATGGTGAGGATTCCCAGCTATTGTATTATGAAGAGATAAGTCCAGTGAGCACCACAGCTACTTGGTCAACTGGTGAAAACGAACCTCTACCATATAGTCAGTCTGAGTTGGAGACTGACGCTGAAGACAATTCTGATATAGATGAGGCTGAGGAACAGAATACCACAGCTAAACCCAAACCATCGAAAAGGCCTACAAAGAGACCTACGAAAAAACCAACCAACAAGCCCTCGCGCAAACCTTCCAGAAGACCTAACAATAAGCGTCCAAATACATCGGGCAGCAAACGTCGTCGACCAAGCAAAAAGAATAAGAATTCGCCTGCAAGACGTGGCACGGGCAACAAAAAGAGACGTCGACAACGTCCCGATTACCAGAGTGACGATTTCGATGGTTTGCGCCTAACAGCCAATCGTCTCAAAAATCACAAACTAAACAATTTAAAACATAAACGTAAACAGTTGAATAAGGAGAATGAAGAAAACCAAGGCACAAATACTTTTACAAAGACCGAGACGCTTACACGTACCGGTACAGCCGACGATGAGAAGAATGTAAACTGTATTATTATCAATAAAACCACGACACCGCGCCCATTCTGGGGCCTATTCGGTCGTAGCGCTGATGGTGATGACGCTGAGGCAACCACCGCGAAACCCTACGGCAGAAGGAAGCGCATTAACTTCAGTCTGCCGGCATAAGTTTATTTGACCGCTGCAGGATGTAGGGAAATAGAATTAATTTTAATTTAATATTTATTCATTTATTATTTTTTTTATAAAAGAAATAAAGACATGTACCAAATGTTTTGGAATCATTTTTGTTCGAAAGATTTGAGTTAGCTGCTTATGGCATTATTTTCTTCCAATTCCGTCGAAGTCCCCTCTTGAACGATTCTGAAGGTACTATTTCTTGCCACAATCCCAAATGATATAAGTTTATGATTATCAAAAATAAGAGCTATGCGTCAGTGGAAACACATACTATGTCAAGAGCTCAGGAGATCATTAACTCTAATATTTAGACGACAAAGTAATTAACTTTCGTAATAGAACCAAGGTCATGTGTTTGAAATTCCTGTTCGCTTAATGAGTAAAGTTTGACTAATGACATCTAACATCACTGATAGTGATAAATTTGACGTATAAAGCAAGCTTATAGAAGAATAGGGAGAGTTTTCAGAGCCGAGCATTACCGTTCGGTTTGGAGAATGAACGTCTTGCCACAATCGCAATTAGAGAGACATTTTTCGCACTATCTGCTTACAAAATACATATGATAGCGTTGTTTTCGAAATGATCGAAGAGCCCTCATAAAAATGTGCCTGGGTTTTATTACAAGGTGGCTAAAGAAAGTTTGCTGGAAAATTCAGACTTCACGATCTAACTTCCTAGGGGGCAGTGTGAGAACGGTGATGGGGGAGTTCAGATTACGTAATTTCACAACTGAAGCTCGATATCATATTTTTGTTGCTGTCTATACGTAAACATGACAAATGTGTGAGCATTTATTTAGTCGCAAATTTTCCATCGTTTTGTTATCTCTTCAATGGAACCCCGTAATTAAACGCATGACTTCTTAAATGTCACAGAAAAAACCAAAATTTCCCACGCTTAAGAGGTTTGGCGCGAGTACCGAATGCGAATGCGGCTCCACCCGCATGACATAGAAAAGATTTTCCCAAGCTTTTCGAGGCTTAGCCGAAAAAACTGATAATACCAAACAATGCTTCAACGTTTTATGCTAAGCGCACACAACAACAACAACAACCAACCACTGTGATATAGATAATTATGCAAAAACCTGCGTAGAAGTTATCTCAGAAGCGTTGAAGGTACGCCACGGTGAAAAGACAACGGTGGTATCGAAGAACCGACATACGTATGTATGTAGTTATGTACTTTCCCGCCCGCCACATTAGGAACTTTATGGCTTTTTCTAATTTATCCAACTTAACACAAATGTAATCAAATTGTGTAACGGAGCCTAACGATGCGGTGGTATTCTTAATTTCTACGCCAGGGCTGCGTGTGTTCTTCACTTACATACATATGTATGTATGTAGCGCTCAGGTGACTTCCTTTCTCAGTTATTATTGTTGGTTGTTGTTTTCTTAGAGGCTTCTTCCTTTTGTTGCTGACGTGTCGAAAATACGTTACAATTGCAATGAGTTTGACGCATGCGCACGAACATTAGCGGTGACAACACAGTGTGCGCAGCATGTGAACGACCGGCAATCGAAAAGTTTGCGTCCCAAACGCTCAGAAACCGCATATGTGCAACGTAAGGTGTCAAGCGGCGTAGGAAAATTACGGATGTGCTTAGCGCAGCTATCAAAAGACGTTGGGAAGACGCGCATTTGTGGGTATTCGGCGTAATACCGACTCGCGATCCATATGGTCTTACCAATACAGATGCATTACGCTCGGCGTTTTATCGGCAATACGGTTTTAATGAGTTGACATCACGTTGACAGTCGTCACAACCGAAATTCGATCAAAGAGGGTTAAAATTATAGCTACAGCTCTTGCTCACCAGCTGCGCCTACGAAATTTCTAGTATAAAAGTGACACAAAAAGATGCAACTAAAGAAGGCACCACTACTGCGCTGCGTAGCGAGACGTTTGGTAAAGAAATTGCGCGTCAATTATCAACCGGAAGCCGAAGTTGCAGTTGGCACCCTTTGACCCTAACTTCGTACTGTCATTCAATCACATTGGACACTCGATATTGGCGAGCGCTGTTGCTGGTTGTTCGACTACTTTCCAATACAGTTGCTAGTGTAACGCCTATGCAACTATTCTTTTTGTCTTTGCTCGCATTCTGTTGCACGTGTGGCAGCCACAATGTCGTCTTTTCGTGTTTCTTACGCAACGTAAAAATAATAACAAAGTTAATAGCGCTAGAAAAAATAAACATACATATGTACAAGTATATGCTAGCAACGCTCAGTGAGAGTGAACCCTCGCATACACCTGGGCTAAGCGCGCCGTTTGCACCCTCTTCGCTGTGACCGCAAACAACATAAGGCACGAAAATTGCTTACGAAGTACTTGAAATGAAATCAAATTATCTTCTCCAGTATTATGAAGTCACTTTTATTTATTTGTTTTAAATTTTTTGTTGAATTATCAAAATGTCATCAAAATTATTCGTCTTCGCATTTTCTCGGCATTTCCCCTTTTTAAGCGAGGTGCATTGTTGTTGTACAACAAAATTGTAGCGCATGTGGCATATACAAGTATAATGTATTTAATTAATTACACGAGATGAGTTGTATCTAAGGTATTTTGTGGTTTTGTGTTTTGAACTGGGTACAAATTTGTGGTAAAAGCTTCTTTGATTCTTTTCCTTAAAAATTCATAGACGAACTTTATTTCTCTCCGGTAATCAAATTGGTCTAAAGTATAAATTCAATGGTCATGACGAAGATCCTCGTAGAATGCGTTGATTACCTGATTCTGGCAGAGTTTTTGGGTTCAAATCCCGCCTTTGAAAGCAGAGAAAAAAGAACAGTAGGTCGATTTCCTTCTTAAATGGCGTCATCGTCATCACGTCACTGTTGACAGCCATAACTTAAAAGTCGTAGATAATTTCAAATGTAGGAATCAGCGCTAACACCAAAAACAAATTTAGACTTGAAATCCAATGCAGAACCTCTCTTGAGCACAGGTGCTACTTTGGACTGAGTAGGCAATTCAAAATTAAAGTCGTCTCTCGAAGAACAAAAGCTCAAACTCTACAAGTCCCACATCATTCCTGTTCTGCTATATATGTATATGGTGCGAGGGCATTGACAATGAGAACATGGACAGATGGTTTTGTGGAAGATTTTGGGAATGATGAGCTCTACGATATATATGGCAACATTGACATAGTTCGGCAAATCAAGAGCGGCTACCCTGGCTAGGTTATGTTCCTTGGATGATGGGGAGGAGAAGGAAGGCTTCGACTCCGTTGGAAAGGTCAGGTGTAGAAGAACCTGGCTGCCCTTGGTATCTCCAATTGGCTCCAAACAGCAAAAAGAAAAAATGACTGCTGTTATTAGCGTTTGTCGCGTAAGCGGTGTCTACGTCAGTAAAGAAGAAGTAAACTTAAAACTTGAAATCTTTTCCTCAGGGTCAGAACTCTTTCCCTTTTTCTCTCTATACCACTATATTTACATAATTAGTAGTAGTTTTTTGGGTTAGGTTTGGGTCTAGTATAAATCAAGTTATACTATTCTTAAGAGGTAGATAGACTCTACTACCATTGCTAAATATCTGGTTATGCTCCTCTCTTTAGAGTTACTCAATAAATAAGGGCATACTCTAGCCTAGCCTATTCCGAAAGGCCAAACTCGGAATTTTTTTTAATGCGGTTCGAAGCCGGAATCGAGATCTGATTTTATTTAAATTCGACGTTCACATCTCTGTATATTTTTATTAGCAAAATGCGCCTCGCGTATTTCAGTGTGCTCAAAATTCGTTAGTCTTCAGGAGAAAACCTTTTAGTTTGGCATCCAAAACTAATAACTAACTTAATAGCAATGACGAAAGAAGTGTACAGAAAAGAATACCAAACGAATGAACATAAAAGTGCACTCATTTAGTCGAGCGCTTATAAGATTGTAGGTTAGTTTGTTGCATGCATCTCTTCAGGTAGTGGAAAGATGAATGTCATGTGGGTTCATCACCGGCTACTATCAGCAGTCAAGATGACCCTCTTACCATTGTATGCCACATTACGCGCCATTCGTTGCACTCACAGTTGGCTGGTGGTTAATGGTTGTTGCTTGTAGATTGCTGCTGCTTCCACCATCAATGCGGTGACGACTCGGTAGGGCACGTGCCCTTTCAAGCGCGAAGAAAATACCATGATGCAGCGCGTCTTATGCGCCCTTCCACTTTTTACTGTCGACGCTGTAGCTAGAACTAGCACACTAAAAGACAACAGTCCACCGAAGATGTTACCATTTGACTGTTACTTCCTCTTCTACTCACCACTTCGATTCGTCTTCGTTTGCGACTGTGTGCAGTTTGTACTTAAGTTCGACGGCCAAAATGGAAATTAAGTGGCGCGCATTTGAGCTGCATCGCAGTACAGCTCTTAGCCAGAATGCGGGTTCCTGCTTGCTGCTGTTATCTCTTGCTCTACAATGCGCCCTCTTCTTACAACAATATTGTTTTTTTTTTTCAGTTTTATTTTTAACAAGTCGTTATTTGTCGTTGCACTTTTTAAGACGCAATCGAATGAAGTACTCAAGCACATGTTGCAGGGCAGATGAGTGAATGAAGCGCGCAAGGAAAAACCGGAAGAACGAACGGATGAATGCTTTACGTGTGTGTATATGTATATGTGCATTTCTCTTATCCACCTGGTTGTTGGTAAACTAAGTTGTCAAGTCGTTATAGACTACAATGTGGAGGTATGCAATTGAAGTGTGAAAATTTATTTGGAGATGCGTTTTGGCGCCGAAATATTAAGGTTTTCTTGCTAGAACCTTTGTCATGGACTGACGATTTGAAGTTGATGATCAGTAAGCTTAAACGCAGTATTTATTGAATTGTTGAAAGTTTGGTGGTCTTGTGACATTACTTTTCAAATAAAGATGCCTCGATATTGTGTATGAATGTGGTTCTGAATATTATGTAAATTGTAAGCTGAGAACTATGTTCTTCGTAGCGGAATGCGTCGTTTCCACTCGGAGAGCTGTATATCGAAATTCTGGATCGAGGTAACTTCTAAATTATAGCATGCAGAACTAGCAAAAGTAAAAATTGCTTAGCTATTCGATAGTGGCTTATAACTACATAGTTGGAGCCTTCT